CCTGAGTGAGTGGTCCCTGGGGGCCTCTGGTGGGTGGGGGGATCCTGGGTGAGGGTGCCAGGTGGGGGTCCCTGGGCAAGGGTTGTCAGGGAGGGTTCTCTCGTGGGGGGATTCTCGGGGCAGGGGTTGCTAGGCGGGAGAGTGCCAGGGAGGTGGTTACTGGGGTGGGAGGGTCCCTGGGAGGGGTGGTTGCTGAATGATTACTAGACGGGGGGAAGGGGGGCTCCCTGGGAGACAGATCCCCGTGGGTTAGTTGCCAGGCAGTTGCCAGGCAGGGGGTCCCTGGGGGGTAGGTCCTAAGGGGGGGCTGGTTGCTGGGTGCGGTGGTCCCCAAGGGGTGGTTGCTGTGCGATTGCCAGGTGGTACTGGGGGGAGGGGGGACTGTTGCTAGGTGGGGCAGGCCCTGGCGACAGTTGCAGTGTGGTTGCCCAGGAGATCCCTGGAGGGACGGTTATTGGGCAGGGCCCTGGGGGCAGGGGTGATTGCAATGTGGGGTGGGCCAAAGGGGTGGTTGCCATGCAATTGCCAGGTGGGGTCCCCGGGGGCTGTTGCCTGATGGGGAGTTCCCAGATGGTGGTTGATGGGCAGGGGGCAGTTGCTGGGCGGTGGGTCCCCAGGGCAGTTACCAGGTGGGGACTCTGCGGGGGGTGGTTGCTGAGGGGGTGGTCCCCCAGAGGGTGGTTGCCATGCAGGGGGTCTCTGGGGGGCAGTTGCCAGGTGGGGGCTCCCTGGGGGATGGTTGCCAGGCAGAGGGTCCCTGGGGGCAGTTGCCAGGTGGGAAGGACCCGCGGGGATGTTTGCCAAGCGGCGAGGACTTGGGGGGATTGCTGGTGGGGATCCCGAGGGGGAAGTTGCCAGGGGGGATTCCCAGGGGGTGATTGCCCGGGGGACCCTGGGGGGCGGTTGCTGGGGGGGGGTCCCCGGGGGCAGTTGCCGGGGGGATCCCCAGGGGGCAGTTGCCTGGAGGATCCCCAGAGGGTGGTTGCTGGGGGAGGTCCCCGGGTCGTTTGCTGAGGGGGATCCCCAGGGGGCGGTTGCCGGGGGGGGTCCCCGGGTCGGTTACTAGGGGATCCCCAGCGGATGGTTGCCAGGGGATTCCTAGGGGGTGGTTGCCGGGGAGTCCCCAGGGGGTGGTTGCCGAGGGTCCCCAGGGGGTTGCCGGGGGTCCCCGGGGCGGCTGCACTCACTGCCCACGGAGGTGGAGGGCGTGAGCTCCATGGCTGCGTCCCCTGGCTCCAGGCCGGGCTGGCCCCTGCGCGCAGCCCGGGCGACCCCGTGCGGTTCCAGCTGCTCCGGCCCGGCCTGCGGCTCACGCCCTCTGCTGGCGGGGCCAGGCCCGGGGAGCGGCAGGGCCGGGGCCTTCTCCTCTGCCCCACCAGTGCACGCCCTGGCCTGGTGCCCCGGGCCCAGTGCGACACGGCCCCCATGGGCTACAGGCCCCAGCGTGGCACGGCCCCAATGGGCTACAGGCCCCAGTGCGGCACGGCCCCCATGGGCTACAAGCCCCAGTGCGGCACGGCCCCCATGGGCTACAGGCCCCAGCGCGGCACGGCCCCCATGGGCTACAGGCCCCAGCACGGCACAGCCCCCATGGGCTACAAGCCCCAGCGCGGCACGGCCCCCATGGGCTCCAGGCCCTGGCTGGTGCCCCGCGCAGCTTCTCATGGACTCTCAGGCCAGCAGGGACCATCTAGTCAGCCCCTCAACCCCCGCTCCTCTCTGGGCTCCCCTGGGCTGTCACTGAGCTCCCCAAATCTTCATTCATCGACTTCAAGCTACAGAGAATCCACCATTGACTGTCGTTCACACCAGGCAGTGCCCTGTGCCCCATGCTGCATGGGGCCAGTTGTACGACACACACAGCCCGCTGGCTGCTGGTGTCACATGGGGCAGGTCTGACCCCTGGAACCCTATAGGGTTTGGTTCCTGGCTCCCCACCCAGGGCAGCAGGGCATTGTCACTGGCAGGCCCCCAGGATGGGAGACAGGGGTTTGCTTAGATCATCAGAGCCCAAGTGTGCTCAGGTGAGAAGTTGGGTTGATAAAGACGGGATGCTGGCAGGTCACGTGCCAGCTCATGCCACGGTCCCCTTGTCTCAGCTGAACAGCAACAAGCTCAGTATTAGAATTGTAAGACTGTGTTGAGTGTTTAACCTTGAGGGCGGGTTGTGAGTTGCTGCCGACATTAATCCCACCTGTAACATCTGGGTCCCGTATTGTACAGCAATATTTGAGCAGTTGTGTTGTGAGCCTCGGTGACTGTAAATCAACAGCCGGGAGAGAGACATTAACTCATGGGAAGGGCTGAACTCCAGCAGAAGGTGTCACACCCTGCCCAGCAGGAAAGGTCCATCGATACCAGACAGACTGTTCTGGGATGGGAATTTCCCTACACACCATCAACAAGAGGACAAAAGTCTTTTGTTGTTCTGCTCTCCTCCCAGTGGAGAGGAGTCAGGCAAGTGGACTCCTCCCATCAGCTGAGTTTGCAGCTCAGAGCACATGGCAGGAAGGGGATAAAAACCCCAAGCCAAAAGGACCTAGGACTCTGGAGGGGACAAGGTGTTTGTAGGCATAAGCAAGAGATCCCCAGTGTTTAGCCTGGGTTAACCCTGAAGGACGTACAGAGCTTGCTTATTACAGAAACTTCTAGTGCTTTGTGAAACTAACACTGGAACTCACTTAAAAAGAAGAACAGGAGTACTTGTGGCACCTTAGAGACTAACAAATTTATTAGAGCATAAGCTTTCGTGGACTACAGCCCAACTCACTTGTGTATCTATGGTTACCTGCTTTAACCTGATACATAACTCTCTGGTTTCCTTTTCCCATCTTCAGGTAGTTTATTATAAGATTGGCAACAAGTCTTGTCTTTGGTGTGAGATCTAACATGCAAATGACCTGGGGTAATTGACTAGTCCTTTGGGATTGGCAGTAACCTGAATATTGTTAGGTTTCAGGGTAGCAGCCGTGTTAGTCTGTATCCTCAAAAAGAACAGAAGT